TATACTTAAAGTACGTATTTTAGGGTATTATATCCTTAATATTTACTACGTATTTAATAAAAGACGTATATTAATAACTCTTAGCTTTTAGACCCTTTTATAAAGGGTTCTTATTATAAAAGACCTAAACTCCCGCTATACGAATTAATAACTAAGGATATTTTTATATATACCTAGGAATTACCTAGCTAATTAAATAAATAACCGCTATTTTAATATTCTAAACTTTATAAGGGTCCCTATTTATAAAGTTAGTAACGTATTTAACCTTATTATTATTAATATCCCGCTAGCTTATACTTAAATTACTAGTTATATTTATACTAAGTCGGACTATAATACTTTTATTACGATTATCTCTTTCCTTATTAGCCTAAGTAATATATATTAATTAAAAAAAAAGAAGTAGAGGATTAGCTTAGAAAATATATTTTAATTCGTAAAAAAAGTAAAGGAGCTAGTTTAGAATATATATACTATATACGACTTTATATACGACTTTAATTTAATTATAAAGAGCTTAAATACTATTTTTTAATATACCTATTTTACTTTTTTTACCCCGTACTACGTAAAGAGTAGGGGGATAAAATAGTAAAACGAGACTTATATTAAGATTAATAAGTATTTTAAAGCGGTATATATAGCTAATCCCTATTTTATTATTATAACTAAAGTTAATAAGTAGTATAATAATATTATATAAAGTATTAAAGCCGCTATATAGGCTAAAATAGTTATTTTTATTAAAAAGGACTCGGATATATATTAAGTTATAAGTTAAAACTAGCTAAGGTTTTAAGTTTAATCCCCTTTTTTATAAAATAGTAAAACTATAGTTACCGAGCTTATTAAAAAAGTAATACTTTTTTAAAAAAACCTTTAGAGCGAGCGATTATAAGAGACGATATCTATTTTAATTTTATAATACGCCCTAAATAGACCCTACCCTAAGATTTAATTATTTATTAATATAAAATAAAGGACGTAATACTTAGTATAAATAATACTATTCTTAGTATAAATAATATTATAATTTCTATATTACGGGCTTATTAATTATATATTAATAAGTACGTTTACTATTTTTATTAGTCCTATTTTATATTTAATTATTATTTTAAAGCCTAATAGGATACTAAAATAATAATAATCTTAAAACTTAACTAAGATATGTATATATATAAGGGCTAGTACCCGATTTTACTACTAGCTATTTTAAAAAAAGGTTTTAAGTACCTTATTACTAAGAAGATATCTTATATTATAATCGCCCAGGGCGTATTATACCCTTAAGTAGCCGGGGTACTACCTAAGTAATTAACTATTAATATTATTAATATAGTAGCTTATAATATATAAATAGCTTTTAATAAGAAGCTTATTATTATTTTTATTATAATAAATATTAAAAGAGCTTTTAATTTAGTCCTATATAATTATTTATATAACCGACTTAAGGTATAGGGATAGCTAAAGAATATTATTACTTAGGTCTAGTACTTTAACTAATTATATCGTACCTCGGTTTATTATAAAAAATACTAAATACTTATATTCCCCCTTTTTTATAAATTATTATAGGGGTTATTAATTTTACTTATCCTCTTCTTTTTATATACTAAGTAAATCTACTAAATCGGCTTAGAGTTATTTAAGTTTAGTTATATTAATAATTATATAATATTTTATATTAAAAAAGACCTTATTAAGGCTACTTCTTGGGTATAATAAATCTTTAATAATATTATTACTTAGGGTAATAATAATACTATTTAACTCGACCCTACGAAAACTAAAGTTCTATATTTTATAAAATATATTTTACCCCGGGCTAAAGATATTACCCCCCCCCCCCCTATTTATTATAATAATAAAGAAATTAAATTAAAAAAAAAGTACTATAAAATAGCTAAGTATTATTTTTAATAAACGGCTACTTTTTTATAAATATATTATAAATTACTAAAATAAGGCTAAATTTATAATAGGGTATATTAAAGGACTTAATAAGGTTTTTAAAAGTATACTTCTTATTATTATACGTAAAATAGTATATACTATAATTATACTAAAGGCTTTTTATAGTACTAAGTTATAGTACTTAGGCCTAACTAAACTAGCCTTTAGAGTTAGAATTAATTTAGAAATATACGCCCGGCTAGAGGTATAAAACGGGCTAAAGTTAATTATTTAGACCCTCTAGACCCTTATTAATATCGCTCTAAGGGGTTCCCTTTTAATATAATAAACTACCCCGATCGTAGTACTACTATACGAAGTTAGTACGTTATTAATTAAGCTCTTTTTAAATTTATTTAGAAATTACTATATTATTAAGCTATTTATATTAAACTATTACTACCCCTTAGCTTAGAGAATCCGTAATTATAAGCTATTTTGTAATTATAAAAATCCCTCTCGTTTTACTACCCTTATTTAAATAACTAGTTAAGTTAAATAGCCCCTATAACTAGCCCTATTATTATATAACTTCTTAATTATATAGAGCTTTAGTAAAGTATAGGACCTTACTAAGTTAAAAAAAATACGGAGCTATTATAATTAATATAAGTCGTTCTTAGTTACGTATATTATAACTTATATTAATAAGTTATAGACCTCTTTAAAAACTACGGGCTATAGTTATATTATTTATTATAGCTTATAACTAGTTTATTTTAAATATTACTACTTATTTTAAGCTAAGGTTTTTAATATTAAAATCGAAGGGGCTATTATTAGTTTTTATATAGCCCTAAGGCTTTAAAACGAAAATATTATAATTATTACTATATATCTAAATAACTAAGTTATTATTAAGTACTTAAATAGTACCCCCCCTCTTTTTCTTAACGAACTATTTTTAATTTTAAGGAGCTCGCTAAGAATACTAAGATCCCTATTACTTCTTATTAAATACTTAGCTATAAGAGTATTATAAAGAACGAAATAGCGGATTATTTAGTTAAAAAGGGTATTATTATAAAGATCTCTAACTTTTACTCGCGCCCCCCGACTATTACGTATTTTAAATACTAAATTAAAAAAAATAACTAAATACTTTTTAAAACTAATAAAAAAAATATTAACTAGACTTTTATAGGGGACTAAGGCTCTTTATTAATAATAAGCTAAACCCCGAGCTTAAGTCGCTTACGTAGTAGTAGCTCTACTAGCTCTTATTAACTAAGTTTAGTTATAAAGACTTTATTATATATTACTATTTATACTATTATATAAATACGAACCTCTACTATATATACAAAAAAAAAATACTTAATTATATTTATTATTATTAACTAATTATATATAAGGATATACTATAGTTTACTTATATTAGTTTTATTTAGGGCTAGCTTAATAAAAAGTAATTAATATATATTATAATATTATAGCGCTCTTAGTTCTATATTAATATTTACCTAAAGTAACTTAGTAATATAAATTTAAACTCTTATTCTTATATATATATATCGAAATCGAGCTAGTGCTTATAGGATTAGTTATAATAATACTAAACCCGTATTTATTATTAAATAATATAACTATAATAAAAGTCTCGGGGTGCCCCCCTTAGCCCTTTTATTAATAAACTAATATAATAGGACGTATTATATAGTTCGCTTCTTAACTAACTATTTAAAAAAGTCCTTTTTAAACTAAGTCCCCTTATATAAATAGGTTTATTAATATAATAGTTAGCTCCCTTAGTAAATATTAATTTTATAAAGTGAGTACGTTAGTATAGCTCGTTCGAATGGGGTATATAATAAGTTATATACCCTAATAATTTTACGAAGCTTATGTTTATTTATAGTATTATTATATTATAATATAAGTTCTTATAGTACTTATTTATTTATATTATATTACTTATATTATATTATATTATATTTTTATTTACCTTATTTTATAATTATGTATTATCTTCCTTAACTTTTTAAAAAAATACGACCTCTTATTTTAAATAGTAATACTTATTATAATATAACGAGGGTTTTTTTTATAAATATATAGAATACTACTTAGCTTATTTTTTATATTATTAATATAATACTCGAACCTTACTAAGTATAGTTATTTTAAGTTATAAAATATTACGGGGGGCTATGTATAAGTAAAAGGGTTAAATTTTAGATTATATATTATATTATTTTATAAGAGGGTATTATATAGATTCTATAGGGTACTATGTGCGGTTATATAATTCTAGTATAGTATAGTCGCTTTTTGCCTTACTTAAGGATATTACGGCATAAAATAGGATAAATAAACAAATAAATAAAATGGGGTAGTACCGAATCCTATATTTTTCGTCTTTTCTCTGTGTTAATTGTCCGAGACCTCAATTATGCATCTGATTAAAAGAATTAGAACGGAATGAGTATTGGAGAAAACCGGGCACCAATGTGTTGACGTCGTTCGGCACCCGGTGGGATATTGAATCCTCTTATACCTTGCTGGCTCAACCGCGTAATAGTGCCTCACATAATGCACGCAACACTAAAGTCCTACTGAGATGTTCTTGGCATTCGGGACAGCCAATACAGTGCTTAAGACCATCGATTCCATTTGTCACGGGTAGTACCTTATTAGACAAGGTATAAAATATGTAGCATGTGTTTGTCATAGCTTCTGATGCATATAATTCTGCCATTCTCAGGTTTGATGTTACACTGAGGCGCACATTGCTGCAATGTAGAGGCGATTGGCCAAGCTATTGATGCAGGTGTTGTGTGGCCTCGCCTAGGAATACGAAGCCATCCATCGGCTGAAAAAGCAACGTGTAACATCGTATTATTATTTATTGATAGGTCCTAAGGAACCATTCGCGCTGAGTAGGTATTCTGAGGTATAAAAACCGTCTCGTTTCCGGTTCGTGAAACTTTCACTTTAGGTCCAATTAAAGTTCATTGAAATCGTTTTGCTGATTGCAAATTGCAAAAATCCACATTCAAGTGATACATCTATTGGAAAGCCAACTGCCGTACTTGAAAATGGTCTCTTTCAAGAGTCTATTGCTGTTGGTCCCCGTCATTCCTCAGCTGGTAGTTGCGACGTCATGCGATTACGGATCCTGGTACATCGAAATCAACCTTGCAGCAGGCGCTCAAGGCAACCGACGCGGAGATCTCTATGCTGAGCATTCCAAGACTCCAGGCGTGATCAGCCACTCAGTATGGATCTATGACCCTCAGACAGATTTGACTACCTATACCGCGGAAGATCCGACCTTAAACAACACGCTTATCTCGGTTCTTGGTCTGCAGAGTACGTCTATTATACTAAGAGGCGGCGCGAGATGGCTTGAAGTTAATTGTCATCACAGATTTTGAGATAGAGCAGACCATCCTTGGGATCCCCTTGAAGGGATCTGGGCTTATCGACATGTACTTTAGCCCGGCCGCAAACGGCCGCGGCGGCAAGGGCAACACGACGATTATTTCGGAGTTGAACGATTGAATCAGTGTGGTGGTACCATAATCTCATATCGATCTCACGGAGCTCAAATTGTCTTTCAGATCGGCTCGCGATAAGTCGTGACACGGGTATGCGTGTCATATCCCGAATTTGTCTTTTTGGGCAGCATAGTGTCCTTTAGGCTACATGATATGTACATATGAGACAAGAACATCCTCCTTGCAAATTTCGCAAGGTTTCAATTACACTCAAGGAACAGACAGCTTAAATTCAAAGATTACTAATCTTTTGTTGGCAACCTTCCTGCTGTACTCAGTCTAGACTCGCGCCCTACGATTGGTTTGGCGCGCCACAGAAAATTGTCTGGAGGCAGTTCGAAATTAAATGAATAGTAATCAGGCCCCCTCAACACCCTCGGCAGCGAGAGGAATGACGCTTCCCCCATAAAGTCCCAACTCACGCGTGCTGTTCGTACAGCATGTTATGTTGGAGAGTGGATCACAAAGGGTCCCCAAAAGAACGTCGATAGAGCATATGTGTCCCCGTCCACGATCTTGAACAGTGACAGCATCCTTTCTGTACTTGACTGGATCTCGACACCGAACACCACATTATTCCAACTTGACATTCTCGGGGGCACCGGGCATGAAATTTTCAACAATCATGGGCGATCAAAGAGCGAAAGTAGTTTCGAAGAGACGAGGCCGGAAATCGCCAATGTCTGACGACGCTAACGGCGATGACATGCGGAAGGTCAGTATAGCCACCACCTAGTTTCTGCTCGTAAATCTCTGCATTTGCCGCTGCACCTCTCCATTATATTCCAAGCGTACTGGAATGGACGACTGACCAGTTCAAGATCCGGAGAGAAAGGAACCGCGAGGCACAACAAGTATTTCGAAAGCGTCGACAAGCTGCAGATGTAGCACAGAAGGAGCGAATCGAGAGGTTGGAGAACGTGGTAGAGAACATGACGCTCCTCTTCATTGACCTCTTCGACGAGGTCATCGGAAACAAGGGTGTACTAAAAAAGCAGGAGGACCTTCTTGCCCTCTTTCAAGACTCAGCGATGCAGTTGAAGACAATGGTGCAGCCCATCACTGATACCGACGACGACAACGACGATGGGAACCCAAACTCTGGGACCACGCGGTCTACCGATATCCATGAAAGACCTATTTGTTCTACGTCGGCCTCGTTGAGTCAACACAGCACTTTGAGGCAGAACGCCGGCGCGCCCGACCGCTTGAGTCCTTCCAAAAACAATAGCGGCGGCGAAGTCGATGGTACCCCTGCAGAGGGCATGAGAGCGCAACCTAATGTAGAACATCTTGAGGCTCTGGACATGCCACATATATCGACTACGAGGTCGAATTCTCCTTCTCAAGCATTTTGCCTTCAACTGCTAGAAGCGACTCTATCTCAAGCATGCTTGATACTAGCCGGCTGTCTTCCCGTATCACCAGTCGATTTTCAGACCATTTTTGGCATTACATTGCAGTACCGTTCAAGAGAAGAACAGCTAAGTCAAGTGCGCTGCCTGCTGGGCTCGGATACAGCAAAGCGTCTGGCAGCAGGGATGTCTCCAAGGGAGTCTAGGAGGGGCTGGCGGGATCAACATAGCCTACAGCTGGGATTCGGGCTGGTCGCAGAATACGAGGCCGATGTGGTACATGGCAATGACCTCCCACCAGGGTTTCTTACAGCACTTCAAGTTCAGAAGCAATTGCAAAGCCTTGGCGCACGAAAGCGGGGGAGTAACATCCTCGAAGTCAGTATCACTTCGGCGGTGGAGAGTCCTGATATTACTGCACATGTTTTCGGGGCTACGCTCTACGAACGCACCCCTGAAACCACCGATCTTGGCATCGCCAAAGCCTTGACTTTTCAGCTGAATGTGTCATTACTCATCGCAAATCTTACAAGTTCGGCAAAGTGCCTTTTGACTGGGCCGGCTTACTCTCAGCTGGGCTTTTTCAAGGCCGTGGAAGCGTCAATGATATCAGTCACTGACGCTCCAGCTGGCTAAGCGAGAAACCAGAAATGCGGGATTTGCCTTTCGATGCAGGAAGTTAGAGGTAGAAGACTAGAGACATGTTTCAAATGACCCACAGATTCGGCTAATAGGGTACCTTACATTGCGGCATCTTGGCCGCCTGCACCGTGAGTCTGCAAAGGAATCTTGATCAGTGCCAACCTGACATTTTCAGACACCAATCTCCTTCGTGTGCGCCTTCTTGGCGATCCCGAGTCGCGATTTCCCTGATGATGGACGTGACGACGTGGCATGGACCTGGCGCCAGGTAGGTATTTGTAGCATCTGGTAGGACTCCAACAATCATCCTTCTCTCTCTCGATGGCAAGCTCAAGTACTTACTGACTTCTCGTAATTCAGTTGTGACTGAAATAATCACTGTGATCTCCTTGGCAGCGTATTGGTTGTTTCAGTCTGCTAAGAAGAAGAGGAATGCGTCGAAGGAAAATGTGAAAGACCAAGGGAATCATAGTAAGGAACCGCCGACACCATCTCCAACCTATCCGGGTTCCACGGCCAACGAGGAGTGATAGAGAGATGGTCTAGGATCAAAGCCAAGTGCAAGAGCTTCTGGAATGAGTGAACACACGTTCCTTTCCAGCATTTGGTAGAAAGTCGCAGGCTTGAAAACCAAACATACTTGATGAATAAGCACACTTGATCAAACTCCACACTCAGAGGTTTGTCGTTGTCATATTGTTTTACGTCCATCAGTCCTGCCAGGGGCAAAAGCAATGCGTTCGCATCCTTACCTAGTAATAGATACGTCCTTAAATATTCCAACTCACGATACCTAGCATTCATAGATACAAATGCACAATCTTGTATCAATCCTCTGTGCTCCATTTAACTACTACTCCCGTAAGCAATCTGATACGTACGTTAGTACTTCAGTGTTTCGCTTGGTACTGCGCGAGAGAGGTCTCTTGGCCCCTGCCCGCAAGGAGTGGAATCTACGCGACTAGAAAGCATTGGGGTTGAACACAAGCTCTTGTCATGATAACATCACTACCAGTACGGGTTCAAGAGCTAAGAGACGCCTCTAAGGCTAGTCTAGAATCCTCAGTAGCCATATATCAAATTCGTTGACCAATTAACTTAGATAGGAAACTAAGAATTATGGTGGGTAAAGTCCGCGAACGCTGCTCTGTGGTCAGCTACTCCACTTTCGTTCGAACACCTGTAACATTGATAGCAATCAAGGCAAAAGCACTAATGATATGGCAACCGTGATAGTGATTAGGACAGCAGCTACAGCAGAAGTATCACTTGAGGCACGGATAGGGGGTGAAAAGATGTATTTAAAGTGTTGTATAGTAATCAAGGAGGATGGCTGAATTCGCGTCTCCTATAAATAGTTCCTAGAAAAGATCTCTTGGTATAACTGTCTAGAAGAGTATCTCTGCGAGGGCCAGATCTTGAAGTTCTTTCCCGCGTAAATTTCCGCGACGATCTCACCGAGTCAGTCGGGTATGTGATCGCCATTCTGGGTCAAGGCCTAGGGTGAGTGAGAGAGCAAAATGAGACATCTACAGAAGACAGCCCAAGCCCACACTGCCCTGCAGATCTATCGTGTAGGGAAGGGTTCAAAGCCTCACAAACAATGCCATTAGCTAAACTCATAAAAGACTTTGGGCAGAACAAAGAGTACAGAGAGTAGAATTTGTAAAAAAGGCGCGAAGAAGACGTGAAATGACATGCATGATACTAGCACAACCGGGGACTATACTAAATAAATCTCACGGGACAGCCGCGTTGGGGATGGAGGGTGGGGGTGGATAGGCACTACCCGCACCTGATGCTTTTAGCCTTTCACAGGTCATCCATCTTGCGTCGACATCGATTAGCGTCACTTCCCCCGAAGGATTGCTCTCCCACCGGCGTTGAGCAGGGGTTGTCGGTAGCCCGTCCCTGTCCGTCTCCAGTGCCCACATCATTTTCCTCCGACGACTGCTGGTTGAAATTCAGAGGTGGAGGGACGTGAAAACACCCCAAAGTCCTTAACTAAGCGCCGATACGTCGTGCCCAAATTTTAATATTCTAAGAAAGATCAAGTTCCAGCATCCGAACTCTTACTTTTGTGTCTTTTCAGCTATGGCCTTGTTTTGTCGATCGGTTCCCAGAGGCCTACAAGCAAATGACTGAGCGAACAAGCCCTTTTCTTATAGGGCTAAGACACGCAATAAGTCTGGCCGTCCACGGAGTTATCGTTACATGTCTAGGCCCGCAAGGCCGTTCAGCGGACCGCTCTAAGATTTGCGTGCCTATGATAGCCCCGACCCTATGTAACTGCCACCAACACAATTCAAGTCATTTCGTCACAGATCTGCGTTATAAAGAGCGACAAGATGGTTCAACTCCGTGATTTTCCGAAGGACCCAATTGCATCGCGAGCCCTATTATATGACTAGAATAGGATCTTAGGAAGGGCCACAAAGACTCGATTAGCAGCCAGTTTCAGATTCCCAGCTACCATTAACTCCAAGATAGCGTTATAAATAACAAATTCTTGCTCTCAAGAGAAATAAGACTGTACTACTTAGATGGAAGATGTGATGCTCTCGCCTTAAGTGTTGCCGATTGGGTGACGCCCATTAGTGTTAACCATGGACGCGATCAAGTAGTCCTTGATAGCGAGTCACGATCCCTCGTCTGTTAAGCTTCCCAACCGCTGTTGTCAAGCCCTGGGTTCAATATTAGTCTCGAATTACTTGACGTCATAACTCAGTTCTGAATGATGGCACTAACATTTTGAGGAGTCCACTCTGCATCGTCAACGAGCACAACAGCCTCTACCACCTCAATCGAGGCAAGTCCGGCCTCCTGAGCAATCTGTTGCAATTGCAGAAGGGCGCCATGCACGACAAACGGATGTCGTATAAGCGCTGATGTTTCACAGGGGGTATCCAAACCATGTCTCTTAGCTAGGTCCTTCAAGGCTGGCGGTGAAGGAACGACTATAGCCGTTGGCTTTGCGCGGTGAGGCGATGCGTGGATGCAGATGTTAGCCACTAGCTTTGCAGAGCGGTAGATAGACTCTAGCTGGAATGAGTGAGTTGTGGTCAGTGTACACACCTTCCACGGGCAAATTAACGATGCATCATGCAGATCGGCGTCATACCTTTTCGAGCGCGATGTACTCTCCGTTGAGTGTCTTGACGAGGTTCTTCTTCCGGTCAATGATTCTGAAATGAAAGTCGTCGCCGCTGCATGTGGGTTCCCACTGCCCAATGTCGCCAGTGCGGATCCAATCGCCAGGCGCGACTGCACTCTTGGACTCATCGTCGTTGTCATAGTACCCTTCCATAACACTATCGCCCCGTATCCAGATCTCCCCCTGTGATGGAGTGTTACTGGTGAGGTAGCCTGCATCAGGGCAGTCAACCAGTTTCATTTCTATACTGGCCGGGATGCTCATAGATCCTGGTCGCCATTGGCCGGGATCCATCAGACCACCCATGCTGGAGGTTATCAAGACATCAGCTTCGGTTCAGCTTTGAACTCAGACTATCGAGTCCTTGAACTTACGCCATTGTCTCGGTTAAGCCATATCCGTTAACCAAAGGAGCCATTGCCATGGTCAAGAAGTTCTGCGTGCTTTCCGCTACGGGCCCGCCGCCTGACATGGCGAACCGCAGCCGGGGCCCAACCACCTCACTGGCGGCGGACGATAATATCCCCTTGAAGCCGCATGTCCCGGCCAATCCGGCTGCGGCCCATACTTCTCTTGCTTTGACCCTCGACCAGAAAGCAAGTCTGTCAATAAAGCTTGAATTTTCCACGTTGGACAAAATCGCCTTTTTAATCCTTTCCCAGATAGCAGGAACACCGATCATAAAGGTGGGTTGGAAGGCATTTATGTCTCCCACTTCGAGAGTGCCGGATGGAGTGCTACGGTCGAAGAGCGTACGTGCACCACCGTAGCCCATTTTCACACCCCAGTAGAGACAGCTATTTTCGAAGGCGAATTCAAGAACATGAGCTAATGGTAAGTATGCGAGGAAAGAATCGGAAGACAAGAGATAGTCGCCGATCACGGAGTCAAGACCTGTGACTGTTGGCTGATTAGATAAGCGTTCATGGCATTCTAAGGGGAAGAAGATCAAGTATCATGGCGAATCAGGGGGTGACTTACCTGCCGCTACAACGGCCTTGTGTTTCACCGGAACTCCTTTCGGTATTCCTGTAGAACCAGAAGTGTAGTAGATGGCGCAAAGATCCTCCCTGTCAGGTGGAACAGGCTCACTCATCTTGCTCCGGCCAACCTGGCATAGCTGGCTGAAGCTGAGTATTTGAAGCCCTGGTTGTGTCTTCTTGAGTTCGAACAAGCCTTTGATCCACTCAGCACCTGCATCAAATGTACCACTTGGCTGGTCGTTATAGACTATGGCCTCAACTCGTGGAAGAGATCTGTTTGTCATTGCAGAAGTCACCTTTTGACAGAGATGGTGATCCACGAAGATGGCTTTGGCGCCTGTGGACTCCAGAGAATGCTCGAGGCCAGCAAGGCCGAGAGCTTCGTAGGCTGTCACGAAAACCATGGACTGTGAAGATGCACCATGAGCGATTGATAACCATTGTGGGCTTCACGGTGTTCGTCAATTTTGGTAATTCCACAAGAGTCCACAGGGGAAACTTGCCTTGTTGCTGCATAGACGAGAATCTTATCAGTTTTCTGGAGACCGACCGCCCGTAAGCCGGATCCTACATCATGAACCACAGTACAATGATCTTGGTATGATATGTAAGTGTACTATTGATGCACTTTTAGCCGCCTTGTCATATGTGATTACGGCAGGGCACGCCACCAACCAGAGAATCTCCTGGCAATCTGTTTCCTGCATTTAAGTTTTCGGCTTCACTTGCTCGTGCACCCAAAGCAGGCTTGTCTCCATATGTCTCTGCCGCCCAATGCACAATGTCATAGACTGTCTGTATCTCGTTATTGGGCTGCGACAATAACCCGGGTCTACCAGCAAGCTTGGTGTTTCTTTGGGGCCGAGTCTCGGCCGGGATAGGTGGGGCACTCGGTGCCGCAGTGGAGAACGGGGCGGAGCCGGAGGCCCGGGCGCTGGATTCCGGGGACACCGTCATTGTGCCGTATCGAGTTTACTTGTGGGCGAAGTAAGATGATTCCCATGACTAGCAAAGCGAATTGTTCAATTTAGGCTGTTTTGACTGCTGCACGGTCTGGTACAGATGCCGTGTACCTAAGTCCTCGGGTGGTTTTAATCTGTCGCGCGTAGGCGCTGCGGCTCATTTTTTAGTCCCCGAATGCCGCCGCATTGCACATAAGCTCGCTCCTATTCTAGGCAAAATGGCCCGCTACTACAAACAAGTCGACTGGCTACTCTTCCTGGAAGAAAACTCCGCGAAAAAGCAATTTCATTTACTGACTAGGAAGTATCGTTGAAGAAATTCCAAAGTACCCGCGTGCAAGCTCTTGTGCCTGTCTCGCCCGAGATATTAGCATAGCCCGGGCCCTAAAGATGGCGACCCGCCCAAGGCCAAATGACCTGAGTCCGTCACCCCATCCTTTACAGAGCCTGCCATGTTCATCGATCGACCATGCATCGCTAGATACTCCAGTAGGCCCAAAGAGAAGACCTTCGGGGTCGTATTTAGACTTGATGGCCTGCAGCCGCGGGTAGTTTGCCCCATAGAAATCCTCTTTCCAAGTTTTGAGCTGGAAATCACCCTCGTTCATATAAGTCCCGGAACCAAGCGTAAGTTCCCTCAGTCTTGGCACAACGACGTCGGTGATTTCGTCGGCACGACGTTGGCCGTCCGCTCTAAGCGCACTGAAGTTCCACGTCGACTGTGCAAGTACCGTGATCAGGGTGTCTCGCCAGGCCGGGAGGACGGCATTGTCCGCAACGGGTTTCCGTCCAGGCACCTGCTTTACATCCAGAGCAACAAATCCCAGAAAAGCATCCGTGTCTTCAAGAATGTTGCGAAAGGCCCCGACCAGAGCGGTGCTGTTTTCCTCGACATTGGAGCGCGGGATCATCCTTCCGCCAAAAAGGTGGTGAATCGTGTAAGGGCCTCGGGGCAGAGGTCCACCGTGCTTGCTGTAATGCTCCAAGAATGTGGGTTCCGATGTCACTTCGAGCGTGTACTGTACGTCTAGCTGATCGAGTCGGTCGACCAGCGGGCTTATCAATCCGGAGACCTGTTGCTTGGTCCACCCAGGGAGGGTAATAGGTGCGATGAAGAAGGCGTCCTTGGTGACGGCGTATCCAGCTGTCCCACCGGCGGTAGTGAGGCTAGGGAGGAGGTCTTGCCAGCTTTTGAAAAAATTCCAGAAGTCATCTTTCGCCACACCGGCGGTAGAGAATGCCAGAGTTGCACCTCCGATGTAGCCGTCGGGGTATGCTCTCACGGTTAGCGAGATCACGACTGCGTAGGTGCCAGGTCCGCCTCCGCTCAAGGCCCAGTACAAATCTGAGTGCTGCAGAGGTGTCGCCACCAGATGTTCTCCGGAAGGCGTGATGACTTCCCACTCAAGGACCTGGTCGGCTCCGAGCCCATACTGTGAGCTCAACGGACCGTGGCCTCCGCCTTGGGTATAACCGCCGGCGACGCCTACCGTCGGGCAAAAGCCTCCAACCACGCGAAGGCCTTTGTTGGCGGCAGCCGTGTAGGCTTCCAGCCCACGTACGCCGGCGCCCATTCGGATAGCGGGACCGGTGTATGTTTCGCTTGCAAAATCCAGCACTTCTATCGAACGGAGGCTACTTGTCCATAGGGCAAGGCCCCCTTTGGCGGCGGACTTTCCCATGTAACTTGCAAACGTATGTCAGTGATTGTCTCGATACCTTATGCCAAAGGAACTTCGCTTTAGATGTGGCTTGTTACGCACTCATGTCCCGTGTTCTTGATGGCCAGCCGTAGGGAGTGCCTACGTGCGAATGAAAGACCTTGCACGACGTCTTCTGCATTTGTTACGTTGATAGCGTAGGAAACACTATGTCCCAGCGTACAAGGGGTATCAGCAGGAGTGAATGGATCGCAGCTGGAGTTCTGCCAGTAGGGGCTCTGGATGCCGCCTGGCCAAGATTCGCTGCAATTACCTGTCAGGCTGTATGACCCGAGCAAGGAATCAATGGGGTGTCAAAGCTCACTGAATCTCTGGCCAAACCCAGTCCTTGCGAATAGCGGCGCACTCGGCCTCGTCATAGTTCGGGTCGTGGCAGACAGACGCTGGAGGAACTGGAGCAATGAGACGACCGCCCACAGAGGCGTTAAGGTCCTGCCATTGCAACTCGGATGGCCAACAGCTATCGCCGTCAGTACATGTGCAGAACGGGCCGGCCCAGCTGGCAGAATTTCTTGTCAAAAACAAGGCGGCTGTAATTGCCAGCCCCACGATTGAGGCTGGCCCGGAAAATTGGGATCGAAATCTCATTGCTAAAACAAATGAGCATTGAAAGCCAACTATGCGGTTTTCTGCTCCAGAATTTCTTTACTTCACTTGAAATAGAGCAGTATTATCGCGGAATAGAACCAAGACAAGAAGCGCCCAACAAAATTCCGCAGTCGCTAGGATTTGGCCGAGCTCGTTATCCCCCGGTGTTACTGATGGAAACAACACTATGGAAGATTACTTCGACTTACAAAAGAAAAAAAAGCCCCGACCTGCGTAGATGAAATCCGTGTGGCCCGATGCTGACGCCCATGCTGGCTACCTGACCAGCAACAAAAAAGGACTTCCCACTGAAAATCGGCCAGAGCGAACTCAACCAAGACGTGAATTTTGGAAGGAGATTACCTCAAAATAACCAGGCTTTGAGTTTGATCTCGTCAAAATTTGTTTGGTCGTCACTCTCCTTTCCTGCCCTCCCGCCGGTCCCATCAACAGCCGACATATGCCCCGTCGTAGCCGCACAATCATTTCCAAGCACCTCAGAGACCAACAAATATGATGGATTCCATATCTACGCCCGAGACTCGCTCATCTGCCGTTTTCTATGGCATTACAGGGCTGGTATGTTCCACCGTGTATCTGCTCTCTCTGGGTATCTATCGTCTGTACTTTAGCCCGCTTGCCAAGTTTCCAGGGCCGAAGCTGGCTGCTTTAACGCAGTGGTACGAGGCCTACTATGAGCTCTTCAGCGGCGATGGCGGCCAGTTTATCTGGCATTATGCTAAGTTGCATGAGGAATATGGTGTGTGGACTTTGACTTGGCAATTGCCTGTTTCGAGATCTCATCGTGTTGCTAACTGGTTTTCAAAGGCCCAATCATCCGAATTAACCCATGGGAGCTGCACATCCAAGACTCTAGCTTCTATGACGTGCTTTACTCGTCTTCTAGGCACTCCAGCAAGCTTACCACCCTCGCTCACCGTTTCAACAGCCCAGAGTCGGCTTTCTCTACCGTTAACCACTCCAGACACCGCCAGCGGCGGGCGGCTTTGAACCCCTTTTTCTCCCATCGCAGGATCGCTGAGCACCAGCCCAACATCCAGCGAATGATGCATCGCCTCACAGATCGCCTCACGCGGGAATACCTGGGAAAAGAGAAAGTGTTACGTATCGATCAAATGTGGGGATGCTGGACGTCGGATATCATCAACGACTACGCTTTCGACAAGCCGCATAATTTTCTTGACGCTCCGGACTTCCACGCGAGCTACACAGATGCCATGGTTGATCTTCTGGAGCCTGTTCACTATATCACGCAGTTTCCCCTCGTGACAAATCTTTTCAAGATGCTCCCGCTGTCGTGGGTTAAGGCAATGTCTCCTCAAATGGGAACTGTGCTAGACTTTAACAACGTTAGTAGTAGCCTAGGCCAGAGATACCGAACGAGCTGACTTTCGGATCATATATGACATTTTGCTGATGTGTTACACGCTCGACTAGGAAATGACAAACCAGATCCGCATCCTCTTAAACAAGCCGGCAGAGGAAAAGGGGCAATCCAAGACCATTTTTGGCGTCATCCTCGAGTCAGACCTTCCAGCCTCAGAGAAGACGGTTGGCCGTCTCCAGCAAGAGGCAATCAGCGTGACCGGCGCTGGTATCGAGACGACGATGCGGGCCCTCAGTCTGTGCACATTCCATGTCCTGGCGAACCCCCCAGTGCTAGAAAAGCTCCAGGCCGAGCTCAAAGAAGCTATTGTAGATCCCAGAAACCCTCCCGACTGGGATGCGCTCTCTCAATTACCATATCTCTCAGCCTGTATCAACGAAGGTGAGTGCAGTTTATCGACATAGCTGATTACAGGTGAAATCTGCTGACCAAAATCATCCTAAAGCCCTTCGATTCGCATATGGAACGTCTCAGCGACTCCCTCGCACGCTCGAGGACGAGCCTCTCCGTTACGGCGAGTGGCTCATCCCCGTCGGCGCCACCGTGAGCATGGACAACTACGCCGTGTCCCACGACGAGGCTATTTTCCCAGACAACATGACCTTCCGGCCAGAGCGCTGGCTGGGCGACCCAAAGGCTCCTGATGGGAAGAAACTCTCGCGCTACATGGTCGCGTTTGGTCGCGGGACACGCTCCTGCGTAGGCATGCAGCTTGCGTGGGCAGAGCTGTACACGGGCATTGCGACGCTGTTCCGTAGGTTCAAGATGGAACTCTACGAGACTGAGCGGGATGCGATGGATCTGCACATGGACCGATTTGTGCCGCGTCCTAAGCCGCATACTCTTGGAGTGCGGGCTCTGGTTAAAGACGATCTGTATCAGTGACTGATTGCCGGTGAAAAAGACTGAAGATGTTGGAAATGTTTTGGGCGAAATGCTGTAAATCTGTCGTTACCGAGCTCTATAACAATATTCTTCTCACAGAAACTTACCAGCTTCAGTGCATCAATTCTGTGTGGACTCTTCGTCACGCAGAAATGGTGTCTTAATGATCTAGGACATGGATCGGAATTGCTTGGACGCTTAACACGGACAGCATCCAAACAATGTGCATTGCGACTTAAGATTCTAGATAAGCAAGTGAATGTGTAGTGCTAGGCACTCTGAAGACCACTGGACCTTTATTTTCACCTCCGTTTTGTCTGTTCAAAACATTTCGGAACGTTCTAAGGGCTAATGTTGTGAGGTGATATTCGTTGTGTTTCATTTGCGACATCACTACAATGTGTGAACATAATGTTGAAATGATAATCAAGCAAGCCGTTGTAATAGCTAATATGAGTTAAGACCGCAGAGAAACCCTGAAGGAGATGATACCAGAGAATAAAAAATGAAACACAGAGTCTAAAACGCAAGAAAGTCTTCATTCCTTCTTCTTCATCTTGGAAACAATCTTCTCACACAGCGCTGTTAGTGACGTGGCGCTCGTGATCTCCAGCGTTGTCAATTCAACTCCGAGATCCAGCCTGACCCAATTTCGCAGCTCTACGGCAGACAAAGAATCCAAACCATAACTACTGAGTGGCTTGGCAGGTTCCATTGGTTCCGACAAGCGGAGGGTGGCCTGGAATTGGGTGTTAACGACGTCCACAGCGGCCTTCAATACCACCGAGGAGTCTGCACTGGATTGCAGTAACAGCATTAGCGCCTGCACCGCGCGCGATTTATCGTCCTTGCCATCCCCACCAGACGTGGCCTCGCCGGTGCCGAAAGCTAGGCTGATGAAGCGAGCGTCAACAAGAAGGTTCGAGGAGTCCGGCTGCGGCACGGCGATGGAGGTAATAAGTTGAGTGGAGTTGCCCGTCGAAGATGTTCTTTGCTGCTGCTGGATTGAAACGCGGACAATTTGGCGGAACAGGTTCTCATTAATGGGAGTCCAGGCGTCCCGATCCAGAGCCACGCGAAGGTCATTGTGCTCATGCATGTAGCCAACGTCGTCGATGGCACCCAAATCGACCGAAACAGCGGACAGCCCGAGGCCTTGGCGGTATACAGCAAAGGCATCGAGGAAGGCATTAGCGGCTGCGTAGTTTGCCTGACCCTTTTGGCCAACAACACCAGAGACCGAGGAAAGCATAGTGAAGAAGGAGAGATCGAGGCCCTCCTCCTGAGCGACGTTATGAAGGTTCCAGGTTCCGGGGACTTTGCAGGCCACGGCGCCATGGTACTCCTGGGTCGTCATGGAGGTGAAGATTTTGTCTCTGAGGACCATGGCGCCCTGAATGACGCCACTGACGGGAACGCTGGAGGATTTGAAAGCTCTTCGAACGTCTTCCAAAACTGAAACATCGCCCCTGACCAGATCGACCTTGGCACCTTGGGCATGGATGTTCTTCAACACAGCCTGTGACCGCTCATCATCGTAACCGCCACGTGCGAGAATGACGAGATGCTTGGCGCCTTTTTGGGCCAAGTAGACGGCCAGAGATCCGCAAAGACCTTTCAAGCCACCGACAATGAGGATGGAAGTAGTCTGGGGCAGATCGAATCTGCGTATCGCGGGGCGGACCATCACAGTCGGCTTGTCAGCCTTGTCTTTGGCGGAGAGAACGATCTTGCCCACGTGCTTAGCCGCACGCATGTAACGGAAAGCACCAGCCACATCCTCGAAGGGAAAAGTAGTCATGGGAGCAATGGGCTTGATGGCGCGCTGGCTAATGAGGCTCATCATCTGGCGCATGAGCCTGGCAATGACGATGTCCGATACGTGCTCGTGGGACATATCAAAGCAGCGGTATGAAGCGTTGCGGCCAAACGGCTCCCTAAGATGGTGTCAGTTGTCGGCCTCACGTAAGGAGATAAAATGAATGAGACTAACATGGAGAGGTAATTGCGATCAAGCATATCCCTCTTCCCAAGCTCGACCATGGTGCCGCCATCAGCGATGCAGCGCCACGACTCGTCCAAAATATCGCCGGTGAGAGAGTTGAGAATGACATCGACGCCGTGTCCTTTTGTGGCGGCCTTGAGCTGAGCAGCAAAGGCAGTGGTTCTTGAGTTGAAGATGTTCTCTCTGGGGATGCCAAAGCTGTCTACCAAGAAGTCCACCTTCTCATCAGTGCCGACGGTCGCGTAGATCTCTGCGCCAATGAATTTACAAATCTGGATCGAGGCGATTCCAAGACCACCGGATGCGGAATGGATAAGCACTTTGTGCCCGGCCTGTGTGTTGGCAAGATCGAAAATGCTGTAAAGCGCAGTGAGATACACACTGGCCAGAGTTGAGGCCTCCTCGAAAGACATCCAGTTGGGGATGTGGTGCGTTCGCTCAACAGAGGCGATGACCCTGTTTCCAAATGCTCCCTTCTTGAAGACGAGCACCCGGTCTCCTGGCTTGTATATGTTCGCAGCGTTTTTGCCAGCCCTACGGATCTCGCCCGCACCTTCGAGGCCGAGGAGGTGTTGGTTCTCCGGAACAATGCCCATTGTGACGGCGACATCCTTGAAGTTTAGCCCAGCGGCGAACAGTTCAACTTCCACGCTGCCGTCGGGGACAGGCAGCTCTGTAGCGGCGACCTCGGTGTACTGGAGAGAATCAATTGTGCCGACACGCTCGCACTGCAGACGAACGGTCGTGTTAAATTCATGTAGCTCACCCTCAACGAGTTCAGCGCCGTGGGCCAAGGCTTTCTCAACAACGTTAACAGCCTCATTGGGCTGCACTCTGCTGATATGAATGACTCCCTGGCGCTCGACAAACTCGTTTTCAATACCCGTCGTTTGTCTCCGATGAACAGCCCTGCCGAGGTGCTCAAGGATGTCATTTATGGCAGAGACGGTCTTCGGACCCGTGGCTGACTCAACATCCAACGTTGTGATACTGATGGAAGGATCCTCGTTGCGAACTGTACGACCCAGACCGTGGATCATGGCCCTGTCGGGGCTTGTGACGTTCAGCTGAGAGCCCGAGGTCACCCATAATACTTGGTTGCCTGATACCAACGTGTTCTTGAGAAGCTGCCACTGGGCTTCTGTAATAGTCGGCAGGACAGGGGCGGAGAGATCACTTAGTACCAGAATAGTTCTGTGGTCGTCTTGGGTATGTTCGGTATCCGTGATCTGCCATCCGAACTTTGATAGATCTGAGACAACTTGTGCGGTCACGTCTGTTGGGTCAGAGAAGTGTATAAGCTCAATGCCTTGCTTTTTGGACACGGCCTCTGAAGCAGCGACGAGAATGTGAACAGTGTTGCCATCGCCAGAAGGGATGCTGAAAGATGAACAGAAACCAGAGGATGACGAGATTTCCGGCACGTCAGCTCCGATGGACTGGATTACGACGTGGCCGCCGTCCGATACCAGCGTGCGTGCGTTCCGTACCACATTCTCTTGCGACTCCGATGACCCATCAGCCGCTCTGATAATGACAAGATCAAAGGTTTTGTCAGGGGTCTGCAATTTTTCCGGGTCAGCTGCAACGTCGAGGACGGCGTAGGCCACACCTGACTTGCTGCCGTACGTCTCCTCAGCGTTCACGACAGCAGAAGCATCGTGAGAAGAGAACTGGAAGCTGCGACAAGCAGACCTCACCACAGGGTCGGCTTTGCTACCCTCAAGCCATACACTACCGGCCTCGGAGGGTATCATGCTGGACTCAAGCACACTGAGACTCGGGAACTTGTGAGCAGTCAAGTCGATGAATTCGTTGAGGGGATCTTCTGCTGCGGCGATGGCCGCCACGGTGTCTCCAGTAAGGAACGTCACATCTGGCTTCCATGAGATGCGACTGTACGTGTGTGACGAGTATGGATCCTCCTGTGTATCCAGTTGGTGATATCTTAGGCCAGTGAGCTTGAAACGCAAATCTCCAGTCTCAGAGTCAAGAACGACTGCGTTGGACTTGTAACTCTTGGTACTTTCGGGCAGACCAAGGCCTACGTACTCAGAGCTCGTGGTGGAGATACCTTTTCCAGAAACGCTCTCCACTGGGAAAATGGTCAGCTCATCAATGATGGCAGGGACCAATACGGCACTGATCCCGGGCCTATCACCGGCCCACAGAGAAGGGGCACAAGACTGGAATGATCCATCAATGGCGGCGGGGTGCATCGGATACCACGACTGCGGGTGCTCCGAGGCGGGAGGACTCAGATCCACGAGAGACCGAGACTCGCGCGAACCGGCGATGGACTCGATCTCAAGATGTTTCTGGAAAACCGGACCAAAGTTGTAGCCTGTATCGTGCATGGCCTTGTACCATAGAGCGCCGGGGACGGGGTCAACCAACGGCTTGACAGTGCCCTCGGCTGCAGTCAAATTTTCGGGGGTGCTCTCCTGGATTCTGACTAGGCCACGGCAGTTCTCGAGCCAGGCGTCCCCTACCTGAGAGCTGATTTTGAATTCGTACCAGGAATCTTTGGCTCCCGTGCGCGGGTGAAGTGCGAGCATGACCTTGGTAGCTTCGTCTGAGTCGTCCAGCACAAGGGCGCGGATGAAATTGATGTCTCGAAGCTTGTAATGGTATGCTGTAGGGAGAACCTTAGCCTCCAAAGTACGCAGCGCTTCGGTGTTCTGGCGGATAGCCTCCATAGCCATGGCGATGAAGCCAGCCGCGGGGAAGACAATCTCCGGGCCCATCTTGTGGTCCCGAAGCCAAGGCAGGTCTGCCAGCTTGAGAGACTTCTTGAAAGACGGCGCCTGCCAGGAAGTACCCAGGATCTTGCTGCCCAAGAGGTCATGGTGCGGGAAAAGACGGTATCGCCAGTCCTTGCTAGCGTCGCTTTCGTACCAGTACTGCGTAGAGTGGTCCCATGAGTAGTTGGGCAGGTCGATAATGGTTCTCGGTTTCCAAGTCTCAGTCTTGTTCACGTTGGCTAAGTTGACCTCTCCGCCGCTGATGAAGAGCTTGCCGGCCACCTCGTAGAGCGACTTGAGCGCGGCGGGGCCACGAGACCAGGCCGCAATATACTGGACTTCGGCGCCATCTCCGAGGACAGCCTTTTTCACCTGGGCCACAGGGCCTGAAAGCGCACCGCTAGGGCCGATCTCGATGAGGAAGTCCGGACGGTTGTCATCCGCGAGCATGGTCTTGGTAGCTTGTTCAAATCGTACCGCAGAGCTCATATTGCTCTTCCAGTACGCCGCATCAGCAGCGTGGCGCATCTCTTTGCCAGACACGGATGAGAACATCCGGACGTTGTCATGTTTCCTGTCCTTCTTGCACGCGCCAAAGTCCTGGCGAAGCAGAGCCTCGTATAGACTGCTCACTTCCAGCATGAAAGGCGAGTGGTATGCCAGGTTCACCTGCAGCAGGCGGGCAAAATGCGATTCTGCTACAAGGGAGGCCATGACCTCCTCGAGCTTGTCCACCTTGCCAGACAAGGTGACGCTGCTGGGGCTGTTAAAGCAGGCAATGTGCACTAGGCCAGCGTAGGGTTCCAAGAAGGGCATTACGGCTTCAGCGCCCAGCCCGACCGCGAGCATGCCTACGTTCTTGGTGCCATCTACGACGTTGGCGAGCTGCTTGGCAGCTAGGCCGCGGTAGTAAGCGACCTTAATCGCGTCTTCCTTGGACAGATAGCCCGCAGCATATGCAGCAGCGATTTCGCCCGATGAGTGACCGACCACGCTGTGCGGAGCGATGCCCCAGACTTCCAGCACGCTCAAGATGGCGAGTTGAAGCGCTGTGCAGAGTGGCTGAGAAAACTCGGGCTGGCGAAGGAGACCAGGACTGCGCGGCTCTACCAGTTCATCTGCATTGATGTGAGTAATTAGGACCAAGAATGCGTCAGGGATGAGGAGAAAATACCGAGCAAAGACCACGTTGGAGGGACAAGAGCGGTCTTGAGGACAGTATCCAAATGCTTGAGCAAGTCTCTGGCGGTAGGGAAGGCATCGACAAGAGCCTTTCCCATCTGCGACCATTGAGCGCCCTGGCCGGTGAAAACAAAGCCGATCTTTGGAGCTTCCGGGCTCTTCTTCCCCAGGACGAGAGAGTCTTCGGCTATCACCGCCTTATCCGCTAGCAAGAATCCCCGATTGAAGTGCGCGCTGCGCTTGCTCGAGAGTGTGAAAGACAGGTCTCGCAAGTCGGCTTTGACGCTCGGGTTCAAAAGGTGCTTGCGCAGCAGCTTCACGTAGCCGCGGAGCGAAAACTCGTTATTGGCCGAGAAGACAAGCAGCTGGGGCTTCTTTGCGACTGATGCCGTGGAGGAAGCATCATTGTCGTCACCGAAGAGATCCGCCTCCTCAGCGAGGTGTGAAGAGACGTGGGAGCAGGTCTGGTTATTCTGTAGATATTGATCTGCAGACTCGAGGACGACGTGAGCGTTGGAACCGCCATATCCGAACGAGTTTACAGACGCCCGCTTGCGTGCCCCTGTCGGCCAGGGGATGCTAGTGCGTGTTGCAAACACCTTCTGGCCCTTAAAGTCGATCTTGGGGTTGGGAGTCACGAAGGTAGGGTTGCCGAAAATGGTGCCAGTCTCGAGAGACAGGATGGTCTTGATCAGGCCTGAGATGCCTGCTGCCGGCTCGGAGTGACCAATGTTGCTCTTGATCTAGGTAGGTGTTAGTTGTGGTCAACTTGTGTCATTTTACTAGCAGTGAAGAGAATGAACTTACGGAGCCGATTATCAAGGGCTGATCGGGACTACGCGACGGCGCAAACACTGAGGCGATACCACTGACCTCGGTCGGATCGCCTGCCTGTGTGCCGGTGCCATGGCACTCGAGATACGTGGTTTCGTTGAAATTCGTGATTCCAGCGTTAGCATAAGCCGAACGGATGGCCGCCGCTTGTGCCTCTGAGCTGGGGCTGGCGATACCGGGAGTGTTGCCGTCACTATTAGTAGCGGTGCCGAGTATCACGGCGCGAATAGGGTCACCGTCACGGAGGGCGTCCGAGAGACGTTTCACCATTACGGCGTTGACTGCCTCACCCTTGATGTAACCGTCCGCCTTGACGTCAAAGGTGTGGCATTTTCCAGATAAACTCGAGGCTCCCTTCATTGGGCCAACATCCATGTTGTGTTCCGGGCTAGACTCACCCCTCCAGAGTCAGACAGTGTTTCCTGATTAAAAAGACGACGGCCGAGAAGGGAAACTCGCTCTAGTGCTCACCTCAGGTACAAGTTGCAGCCGGCGACAATTGCTCCGTCCATCTCCCGGGTACGTAGATAGCGACATGCCACATCAAGAGCTACCAGGCTGCCCGAACAGGCTGTATCTATTGTCATACTACCGAGACAGGTGTCAGATGTGGCTGCAGGATCCGTGGGGATCCGCCGGGTAAGACGGATGGATGCGCTTACCTGGGACCCTTGATGTTCAGAAAATGACTGATTCTATTGCTTAGAATAGCCCGACCAACGCCAATTGTGACAGAAGGAGCGCGGTCTTCGGGATCGCGGGCCTGCATGTCGGCGTAGTCTGCAAATTTTGTGTTGCTGTAAGCCAAGGTTCATCCCATGATAGCACCCAGGGCAAAGGCCTGGCCTGAACGAAATCAGACGAGAAAAGAACGTACCGACGGCGTATGATCCGACGAAGCACCCAACCTGGGCCCCTTGCAGCTCTTGCAACGTCACACCTGAATTCTCCAGACACTCGTATACGACCTCGAGGAGCTGTCTCTGCTGCGGGTCCATTGCGATGGCATCGAGCCGGGGAACCTGGAAGAAGCCGGCGTCGAACTCACGTGGGTCAATGTTCTCTAGGAACATGCCGCCCGGAGACCTCATCGTTTTGGGCTTCTTGGATCCGTCATGGTGGCCGTCCAAGCTGAAGCGAGATTCGGGCGGCTCGTTACGGGCGACACCTCCGCGCTTCAGGAGCTGCGTCAGTGCGTGCGGGTTGTCGACTTCGCCCGGCAGACGGCATCCCATGCCGATGACGGCGATCGGCTCATGGGCTTGAGGTGGGCCATTGGTGGGGCCGTTTACGCTGCTGCCATTATAGCCGTTGATATCGTTGATCCCGTTGGGTCCATCGGTGTAAGTGGCGCCGTTGGTACCGTTGCTCGGATAGTTGTTGTTCGGAATCGTGTACGCACCGTTTCTCCCGTCGTTGATCGTCATCTTGACTGCAGTTGTCTAGGTCTGGGCTAGGCCTAGCTGTTTGAAGAGGGAATAGGGTAGAGAAGCCTTTTAGTAAGGTAGATAACATCGACAGTCTATAGGCAATGGTCGTGAGATCCTGGTTTCTTGGTTATTCAAAGCGGGCAATCAGTCGGTATGTACTGAATCTCGAAGGAGCAGGAACGAGAAAGAAGGTAATAGAGCCACGCCACGAACTTCTCTTTGAACAAGAGAGGGCCTTGAGAGTGTCCTGGCCGTTCTAAAGTGATACCAGTGCTTCCGATAATGGTTTGAAAAACAATCGCCGATGACTTACATGTATTTTGACATTTTATGGAGTTCGGGAGTGCCTCGGATGATTTCAATTTTTGGTCATCGTGGCAAACACTCATCATCAGTTGGATGGGTCTCCCATCCGCCCATAGCACGCCACTAATCATCAGCCTTGCTATGGCATGCCCACGACTCGGGGATATTCTGACAGGGAATAATCTGACATGCTGATTGGGTGAGCCGGTTCTTGAGCTGGGTATCAACACTGTTGGTCTTGAAAGTGGCCGGTGCAAGTGGAAGACTTCGGGCAGTTTATCCTATGCCGTAGACCTTTCAGTTGTTGCATTGAACTCGCCCATTACAAGGTCAACTGTCTGATAAGGAACGCCTAATGCGCTTGCAATGCGTGAATTTTGCCATCTCGGTCACTAGATAGCCCTACCAAACAAAATCTCTTCCGTCGAATCCTGCGTTTCGACTGCAATAATGAGTACCTTCTTCCACGACGTGGAATTCCAGACCGTGGACGGGCTGACCCTTAGGGGCTGCTTCTATCCCGCTCCTGGCCGTGGTCCTGCAGCCATCATTACGCCCGGGGTAAGAATCTCATTATGAAATTCCCTGCTCGTTTTTCGAAGGCTTTCCCCAGGTTGACATTCAGCCCCCGTCTAGTTCAATTGCGTGAAGGAGATGTTTGTGCCAGAGGTGGCCGAACAGTTCCAGCTTGCCGGAATTTCAGCACTCATTTACGACCCTCGCAGCCTAGGCCTCAGCGATGGTCAGCCCCGGAACGAGATCGACCCGATGAAGCAGGTCTCAGATTACTCAGATGCGCTGACCTACCTCCGCGGCCTCCCCGAAGTCGATCCGGAGCAGATCTTCTTCTGGGGCCAGTCCTTTGCCGGCTGCGTCGCACTCTGTGCTGGCGCCCTCGACAAGCGCGCACGCATGGTCGTCTCCATCTGCCCACTGCTGGACTTTGAACTCACGCCGCAAAAGTTCCCCCGCGTTCTCGCACGCAGCATGGCCGACCGTGAGTCCCGCGCCGCCGGCAACCCGCCAGTCTTTTTGCCTGTGCTGACCGAGGACGGCGTCAACCCCGCCGGCCTGGGTATTGGCGCCGACAAGGAGGAGTTTGATTACATGGTCAACGCCAAAAGGTACGGCGCCAGTCGCCACGAGAACAGAACGACGCTTCAGTCGTACTACAAGCTCATTATGTGGCAGCCCCATGGTATAATGAAGTACATGTACCAAACGCCCGTTCTCATGGTCATTCCCGAGCTGGATCAGATCTCGCCCCCAGATCAGCAATTTGATCTGTTCGGGACGTTTCCAGGCCCGAAAAAGGCGCACGTATCTGTTGGCAAAGGACATCTTAATGTACTCAGCGGTCCAGAGTTCCCAGACCTGGTTAAGATGCAGGTGGACTTTATCAAGAATGTTTTGGCTGGAAAGGTAGATGAGTATGTGAGTGTTGCGCACGCAACGAGCAATGGCGAGACCAATTGACGGTAGTACAACGAGTAAATACAGATTTCTTATCATAGATTCAATGACAATCATCTTGTTTCACACATCAATAAAATATTCGGATTATCATGTCCTTACAATGTTGTACATTAAATAAGGTAGTTACATATGTTTCTTCTGGATTTCAATGAGTGTTCAAGGATCGCTGCGAGACTCGACAATCTAAGTCTAGAGTAGGTAGACTTAGAAATAGTTCAAATTTCTTTCACTAAACCTCCACTAAGGCAACCGCCGACTCGATCAAATCGCAAATTTCCTCACTCAGGTGTCGCGGAACTTCATGGCCATAACAATGCTCCAACACCGAAGCCCGTTCAGCACATGCCAGCTCTAGCACATCTTTACTATGAAGGTACCACGGATCACGCCGGCCAAATATGTGAACAGTAGGAATGTCCATTCTGACTTCATCTGATGTTGAATGGAACATTTGGTAGAACATGGCTGCGGTCGGCTGTTGACATGCCTCTTCAGTTCTGTGGAAGTCCTCATCGTCGTCATCTTTGAGGTACCTGTCTGGGGTAATAAGATACGTAGGGACCTTGTTAGGACGATTGTACCGAGCAAGGATGCTACAGTCCACATTGTAAGAGACGCCAAAGTAATCCCGCGTGTCAATCCCATACATCAGGCTGTGTGAGAAGGGTAAAGGGGAGCCGATGAGAATGGCAAACTTGAAGAGGGGTGGTGTTGACGGGGTTTCAAGCTGGTGGCGCAAGATCATCGACACCGCGACTGCAGCGCCCTTACCGTCAAGTTTGTTAGACCCCGAGCCCAATATGAGAAGGATGGACCGCTCCCGGTGAAACTTACCTGGCTGAACCCCATGATTCCATCAAAAGGGCCCTTTTCAGCCATGATGGACTTGACGTGACGGTGGGCCGCGGTCACCGACTCAGTAGTCGGCGTTCTATACCAGCAAAGGTACGGGCCCGGATACACCTTGGCTATATCCGCCTCTGGCTTACAAGTGGTCGGACCATCGACAAATGTGAAGTCGTAGTCCGATGGCAGCAAACTCCGAAAGGATTCTGTGAGTTGAGTCAGTAGTGCTGATAGCGCGAGATAAGACAGCATGAAAATGACTCACCTGTCTGCGAGGCAAATATCTGGCTGTTGATGCCCATGCCATGGAGGCAAAGGATTCGGCACGGCATGTTGGATTATACAGATCATCTATTGGCTGCTGATTGCCACTGAACAATTATTCTGGGTGCTTGGGAGTTTCGGATACTTAAATGCTTACCTCTTCGGGGGCTTTTTGGGTGTCTTTAAGGTTTGCACTTTGAATGGTGGGATGGCAGCTATCTAGTCAGAAGGATGAATTTGAAGGATTCGGCGGCTTGGAACTCCCACCGCACCTAGACGAATCGAGAAAGTCCCTGCCGCCATAGAGTGAAGTCAAACGGGCTATCCCGACCGCCCATTTCTGAATCCTTGTCTCGATAGGCCCCTTGACCTCATCTTAATTGCAGGCTCTCTTATTATTTCTTTCGTTCATTTGTAGCTAAATGAGCACAAGGAACCTGTCCAAGACCGTGCGTTGCAAATGCATTACTAGGGCTCCTCGCGACAGCATTTTGAAAACATAGCAGAAGGTTGTGTCACAATCAAGTAGAATCACAAATTGTATTTGATTTCATAGGGCAGTATTCTAGATCTTGAGAACAGCCTTTCCAATGTTCTTGCCATAAAACATGCCCACAAATCCATCGGCTGCTTGATCCACGCCGTCCACGACAGTCGACTTCGACGTGAAGCTACCATCATGAATCCACTTTGAAACGTTCTGCATATGCTCCGCGCCATACTTGGGACCAATGTTGGGGTCAGTCACGATGTAACCAGCCATGGTGACTCGCTTCACGGTGATGTTGAAGATATTGGTAACTCCATAGCCCGTGTAAGGGCCTTGAACACGCGAGTACTGACTGATGGCTCCGCAGGCGATGATTCGTCCATACGGGTTCATCTTCAGTAGAGCCGCATCTAGCGTCTCACCGCCGACGTTGTCGTAAAAGATGTCGATCCCGTCAGGTGCAAGACGGGCGAGGCCCTCGTCGACTGTCTCCTTCTTGTAATTGAAGACAGCGTCGAAGCCGAGCTCACGGACGAGATAGTCGACCTTTTCGTCGGCGCCAACGGAGCCAATGACGCGTAGACCCTCGCGCTTGGCGATCTGTCCAACTACATGGCCCACGGCGCCGGCCGCAGCGGAGACGTATAAGGTCTCGCCTTTTTTGAGCTTGCCTATCTCGTAGAGAGAGGCGTAGGCGGCGAGTCCGGGCATCCCCAGGGCAGCAAGGAATGTGTCGAGCGGTAAGTTGAGAGGGTTCTCGATCAGATGGGCCCATCCGGCTTGCAAGTCCTCGGCGGTGGCGACGGCGTACTGGCTGATTGGGAATTCCCCCCTGACTATGGCGCCTTGCGGGAATCCTTCGTTTTTGGATCGAAGGATTTTGGCGAGGGCTGTGTTCGGGATGGGCTCATTGAGCTTGTAAGGGCCCATAACCGGCTTCTCAACCATGCGACCCTTCATGTACGGGTCGAATGAGACATATAGAACTTGTACCAAGATGGAACCCCCCAGCAATTCCTAAATCAACGTATTAGCAAAACGCCATAATTGTACTCCAATGGACAAGCTATCAATGACAGACGACTGACATCCGTTGCGTGTGTGCATACTTACCTGGTCAAGATCAAAGTCTCTGCTCTCCACAGCAATATCCTGTCCCGCTACCGTGGGTGTCTCGTGGACCTTCTTGAAGATCAATGACTTGTTTGCCACCATTCTGAAGATGTATGTTGTCTCTCTTGGATCTCTCTAGCTAACCGTGTAATTCAGTCTTGACTCTGCTAACAAAACTCTGTTCACAAGAGGGCCTATTGATGTAGTCTTAGAAGGAAGAACTTGTGATCCGTCGATCCGTGACAGTGGAAAAAGACCCGATCAACCACCCGGGCCTGTCATGCTTGTTTGACAACTGCCTTTTTTGAGTCAGTGGCTGATGGGCATATTACATGTATTCTATGCGATACCGCGGCGTAATGGGCCGATTGGACCAAAGTACTTATCAACTCGCCCGTGGCGGGCGCGGCCGAGCCGAATCATGTAGGCTAGATCTGACAGACGTAAAGCCACCCCCCACGCCCTATGTCATGTCCAAAGCATTCAGTCGAACCTTGCTTGGTGCTTCCATGGCTGCGCGTTTTCTTGCGTCGAACATTTCGTTCATGGTTTTCAAATTCGGGTTGTATCACCAGAGTTGTGAGTTGCATTGTGGGATTGTGCCTACATGTACATGAATTGACAGGGGTCTGGTGTCTTCATGCTGGATGTCAAAGGGTCGGACAGGGGGGCGGACTGGAGCCCTCAACCTACTTGAGAATTTCTTGACCATACGCGGGGTAATGCCGGTTAGGTTATCTCCGTCAAGTCATTGTCGTCTTAGGATGAGAATCCGAAAGTGCACATTCTTTAGGAAAACTATGAGGGAGACTTTTGTGAGTGTGAGAGACGGGAAGCCGGACTTGTATCTCGGTCAACGAGCAAATCCTTTAAGTGGAACAAGCTGGATCTCTTGCATCTAATTGGACTGACTACTCCGTAAGGTGCGCGTCCACGGCGTGATGTGCGCCCACGGAGGAACCACGCTATCAACAGACATAAGCCCAGAAGATGTACCTCCATCAAGTAAAGCGCTTACACAGCGCCACATCTCTGCAGACGAAGGAGTCCGGCTGCCTAGTATTCTAGTGAATGCCTGTGGGATGATTAGCAGATATAAAAGTGAAGGTGCCAAATCTTGTCTGCCTCATATTTGGGTGACGAGTTTTAGCTCGCCTTCCTATGGTTGGGACGGATGCCGGACCATCCAACAAAGGGTGGAAACGGGCAACTTCAACCAGTCGAAGATACATATTACCTTAATAACCTCGTATACGACATGAGCAATACCGAAATACAGCCTGGGGAAGCTAGTCCAGCCCCTGTCACAGAGGGCCAGGGAAGCCGAGACCAGCCGGGGAACCACCCGAACAGGCAATTTAGGCTCCGCAACTCTTGTGACCGCTGTCAGGATACGAAGCTCAAGTGCTCTCAGGAAAAGCCGGCGTGTCGACGGTGTGCCCGACTCGGTCTCCCGTGCGTGTACTCTCCGATCCGCCGGCTCGGCCGGCCTCGCAAGCATTCCTCCAATCAGCTAGAGGACTCGACTCAACAACAGCAGCAGCAACCCCGTCAGCAACGGCAACCGCCGCCGCCTCCGCCATCGTCAGCAGTAACATCTTCGGGTGTCGCAGGTGCGAGAGGAGGCGGCCAAGATGAAGATCACGAAGGCGAGGTTGCGAATATGGGACAAAGCCATGGTGGACCAGCAGCGTCTATCCCTTTGCAGAAAGTTCCAACCCCAGCTTTCCACGAGACAATTTCGCCCTTCACAGATGCCTTCCTCGACGCCATGTCAGGAGTTAACGATGACGGGGCTAGCACGATAGTGATCCCTAGCGCCTTGCATCAGCCAGTGATAGACAGCAATCATCAGTTTGACGTGGTGATGGGCACACTGCTCACGACTGACCCGGCGTCTTCGGAGCCCCTCGCCGCCATCAGTTTGACCGAGACGACGTTTGAGGATCTCCAGAACTGGGCTACCGAACCAAGTCATTACAACACCCCAGTGGACCAACACGAGCAGTTTGTAAGCGAAGCTCTTACTGGCACGACTAAACGCCCTTCGACTTCTACCATAAATTTGTCTGAAAGTAGCGCGGCTGCGGCGGTAGCAGCTGTGTCCGACATATTTGGCCCAGAAGAAACACCAATGCACTTTCACACACAAGCTCCCCCTGTTCCCACATCGGCATTAACCTCATCCTCTCTTATGTGCAGCAACGACTGTTACCGCTGTCTCAGCCAACAGCTTGCTGGTCTCAATAGCCTCACCAACTCCTCGGTCACCCCGAATCTCGACACGATTCTACAAATTGACCGGAATATGCAGGCGCTCACAAAGGGACTCCTTAACTGCCCACATTGCCTAGCAAACGACAGCAGCTTATTACTACTTTCCATCATCATGGACCAGGCGACCCGGCTATTAGATTGCTTCATCGAGAAAGTCAAGCCCAATGTGGCTGTCGTAGATCATCAAAGCTCAATCCGAGGAGGGTCAAGTGCTCCGAACAAGAATACCGCCGGGGATGGCAATATCGGCGTGACGTATCAGAGCACCTACCGCAGCCAGCCCTCCGCGAGCGGAGTCGGACTGGGAAAGCTTTACATACCAGCGCCGGGGGCGACGATGGCGGCGCCCTCTCGCAAACAGTCATTGATACATACGACAGAGTTGCGGATAGGCGACTACGAGGTCTTAGACGAAGACTTGAAGTTGACGTTTCTGAAGCGGCTTGTTTGCCACCGCTTGAGGATACTGGTTGGGATGTTAACAGACCTCCAAAATACTACCGGAGGACATATGAAAGAGATGCAGTGCAGCGCGACTCTCGGGATGTTAAGAGGAGTCATGGAGCGGGTCGAGCGCCTGCGAGGGAAGATGTCGATCAAGTGGTGATTGTGATGATCAAAGCAAAAGTCCAACTTGTATCTGTATTGTTGATCTTATACAGCGAACATTGATAGAAGCGTTTTTCTTTCTGAAGTTGCCGTCTAACGTCTGCGCCCCCGCCCCCGCCCCCGCCCCTCGAGAATTAGTCGGCAACATACAAGATATCGGGAAAAGTCTACACAATTACAGGTATATTAGTATGCATATAGAAAGAAATTCCCTGCTTCTTATTATCATACCATGTTGTATTAGTTGAAACCTATGCGCTGGTCACCTGACCTTACGGGATAACGCCGGCGCACTGCCAAAATCTATCTATTCTATTCATCCAAAACGATTTCAGAAGGTCTCTTCGAACTAGGATCGCAGAGTAAATACAAACTCAATCCTATTGCTCTTCTCTGAGATACAGAGCAATCCATTATGTTGTATCTCGATAGTTGCTTGCCCTATAGTGGTGAGATACATCAGTGCATTTATCAATTGGAACAAAGACCTTACTCCCTATCAGAACCCTACTTGAACAAAAGACAAAAAATCATGATCACATTGCCCCATTCTTTTGACAGCCCCTACTTACATGGATTATGCCTCCGCTAACGCCTGACTTGCAATCTCGGGTGGCGTTAGCGCGCTCCTAGCCACGATCCTCGGCCCCAACTTAGCGAGCGGGCTCGGGCTCAGAATATCAAAAACAGACACGTCGCATCGTAGCTCCTTGAAGATCCAATTGCGCACCTCGACCGCCTTGAGCGAATCGACACCAAAGCTATACAGCGGCCTCTCCTCATCGATGTCGTCTGGACTGGCTGTCATGGCCGCCGCAAGGTTCGCCTTGAGAGCGCCGAGAACCACCACAACAGCCTCTTTCAACGTCTTTGCCCGGCTCAACCCGTTTCCGAGTCTCTCCGCGTTCGCGCCGTTAGGGTCTGCACTAGCCGCAGACGACCCAGTTCGCGCGATACGGTGCTCAAACTTGCGGTCTTGGGGCCACGCTGCGCGACCGTCGCGCTTCACATCGTCCGTGATGCCGACGAGGAGCTGCTCCGGCAGATCCCTGGCACTCGGGCGGAGGACGGCTTCGATGACAGCCTGCATCTCGTCGTCCGTCACCCTCGCCGACTCCCAGTGGCCGTATTTTCTGAGGTAATCGTCGGCCGTCGACGTCGCATTGAAATGGCTCGCGTCCGTCACCAGCCCAACGTTCAACGTCGTCGCTGCTAGCCCCAGGGACCGACGGTGAAGCGCGATGGCATCCTCGTACGCGTTGCCCGCGCAGTAATTTGCCTGTCCGCTGTTACCGATGATGCCGGACATGGAGGACAGAAGAATGAAGAAGTCGAGGTCTGTGGGCACCGTGGAGTGGAGATTCCACGTCCCCACAATCTTGGGACGCGTCGCGGTGTTCCATTTCTCGATGGTCATATTCTGCAAGATGGAGTCTTGAAGGACCATGGCGCATTGGATCACGCCTCGAAGCCTTCGTCCGCTCGTTTCACATCTTCGTATCGCATCTTCAACTTCTGAGTGTATTGTGACGTCGCATTTGGGAGTGTCAACCTCGCAGCCGAGATCGCGGATGTCCTGGATGGCGTCTTCTTGCCTAGCGTTCACGACGCCAGATCGCGATAGAAGGACCAAGTGCCGAGCGCCATGAAGAGCCATGTTCTTCGCGATAGTTAGGCCGAGAGCACCTAGGCCACCAGAGATGAGGTAACTTGCGTCGGCATCCAATTGGGGCGGAGCCGGCGGTCGCGGTAAAACCGGCACCACGGCTTTTTCCCCAAGCTCGATGACAATGTTGCCCTGCTCGACGGTAGCTGAGGATAAGATGTCGCTCAGGTCTTTCACGGCGCGTACACTAGTCACAAGAGACCGTTCTTTCACAAGTCCGGACCGCAAGAATCCGAACGCCATGGCGAGCAGCCGGGCGCGCCTCTCACGGGGGAGCTGTCTGACATCGACAGACGAGATGGAGGCGTTGCGCTCGAATACAGCGGCGCTAATGTCCTGGGGACGAGCCCTATCGGTGCCGATGCGCACGAACCGGCCCCAGGAAGCAACCGTCTTCGTGGCTGAGTACAATGATGTGCCCGACGCAGCGCTGATGACAATGTCGACGCCGTGCCCGGAAGTTAGCTTCATGGCGGTCGTTGAGACGGTGTCACCGTCCTCTGCTCGGATGATATGGCTCTGGGGAATGTTGTACTCGGGCAATAGCTCCGATGCCGTCTCATCGTTATTGGCTGTGATAAACACCGCTGCCGCACCTAGCTGTGTCGCAATCTGAAGTGCAGCAAGTCCAACGGCATCATGCACGGCGTGGATCAGAACGGTCTCGCCTGCTGCAAGACGACCAACTTCAACGATGGCGTGGTAGGCCGTCATGAAGCTCAACGGTAGAGAAACGGCGAGCTCAGACTTGACATCATCCGGAATCTTCTGGACCAGGCTGAAGTGCTGTCTGATATGTGTCCTGAATGCGCTTTCATCAACCAGGACTACGACTTCATCACCAATTTTGAGGTTCGGGACCTCGGAACCAAGACGGACCACACGTCCCAGAGCCTCCGTCGCCATTGTGGTACCAAATTGGCCTGATGATCGCGTAAGGTCAGAGCCGTTGATGCATATGTGGCTGGTCTGGATCTCAATCCCCTCGTTGTTGAGAGGTTCACTCTGGGTTGTGTCCGCGATCCAGACACCGGACCCAGCGACGTCAAACTTCAAAGGAGTTGAGTCCCCAGGCTCGCCAGCCGCCCACAATCCGCCTGGAACCGACTTCAGCTGACCAGAACGCAACGCCAGTTCATGGTCAGAGGGCAAGTCTGCCACGGCCCGAGGAATCAGAAGCCTGCCTCCAGACTCGAGAAACTCCATCTCGTTATTCTTCCCTTTGTATAGGTCTTTCCTGCTAAGGCTCAACACCTCCAATGCCAAGTTTGTCTGTTCTTCAGGGCCGAGTTCCGAAGTCATAGAGAGATCTAGATGTGGGAGCACGATTTGCGGCACCTCGGTTCTAATAGTGCGCAGCAAGCCGGTGGTAGGGGAGAAGGCCAGTGACGCCTCACTTCTGTCGGCGATGCCGCCGTTCGTCAGCCATAGAAGGTACTTGGCGCCGAAAACCAAGGATCGGAATTCGTCCAGGTCTTGGGCAGTTAGATTGATGGTCCAAGGCTCATCGAACTCCAGAAGGGAGATAAAGATCTCAGATCCAGAAGTGGCGGCCTCGGAGAGGAGGCAGCTCTTGACCGCGACCCCTGAGCTCTCCAATTTCCGTTTCAAGACCTCCTGGACTCTCAAAGCTGCCGTCGAAGGCGAGAGCCGGACAATCAGGTTGATCTCGGAAATGTCCAGCTTCTTCTGGACCTTTGTTGAGGAAACGATTGCGTTTTTGAAGTCGATATCAACCGGGGCGAAGCCGGCGCCACTTAGATTGTCGGCGGCAGACACCTTGTCTCCAACTAAAGCGACTCGACCACCGGGATGTAGAAGGGACTTGATGTGAGACAGCCCGATGTCCCCATCACCATCGAGTAACTGTCGACTGTCCCCGATGACGATGTCAAACATACCCAGGTCCTCAACAAGTTGATCGGACGAATCCTCTGCTAGGGCTGCAGTTGATGGCACGTATATTAGATCGGAACTATTGGGCAGCGGATATTGCCTCGCTGCAAGCTGGGAAAGCAATTGCCTTGCAAGCTCTTGAGACGGCGCAGCAAACTTGATGTCGGCGGCGCGAAGGCCTCGCTCCTCTTGCGGTGCAAAGATGGTTGCCAAAGATTGCAGTTCATAGTTCTCCTCGGCATGAAGGACAAGAAGCCTCAAATCTGCCTCTTTATAGGTAAGAAGTTCCAAGTACGCAGCCAAGTCAGGGTTGCTCAGACCGGTGAAACGGTCCTGACATCCACCTGCACAGAGGACCTGTGATGCTACCTTGCCTGCAAGCGCATCGACGTCTTCCTTCCACTCAAGTCGGCCGACCCTCTTTGGTGTTTGACAGAAGGGCGACGAGGAGCTCTGAGACTTATCATCAGTGGATGATACCTGACGGACCACCATGTTCCGCATGACGATCTTGGGTCCCGACCAGCTCTCATCCGAGATGATGATATCGCCACATGCCTCTCTAGAGTTGGTCTTCCTCGCCTTTGAGAACCCGACGTACTTGGATCCCGCACCAGAAGGCTGGTCCGTCGCGATGAAGATGGTTTCGACCGTCACCGGAATGGATGCTTCGTCCATGGGATATCCTTCAAAAAGGGCGATGAAGATGAGGTGGAAGATTGCGTCCAGCGTTGCCGGGTGGATATGGTGCGGGAATTCGACGCCCTGTGGCATCGTAGACTTGGTGTCCGGGATGGACACAGTCGCAAGACCTGTTTGCTCACCCGGCAGTATGGTGGCGTCGACGACATTGGTGAACAAGGGCCCGTAGTCCATGCCGATAGACTTCAGCTGGTCGTAGAAGGCTGCGACATCAAGCTTCCTGGAGGCACGCTTCTTCATGTCCTCGAAGCTCTCTGCCCGGGCTTGCCAGTCCTCAATGTTGGAACCCGTGTCCTCGTAGATAGTGATGACAGTACCGGACGAGTGTTTCTGCCAGGTCCCGCCAGATGGGATGGAAAAGATGGTCCAGTGATACTTTTCAGGGAACATTTCGTCTGGTCGCATGCTCAAGTGAGTCTCGACGGCATCCTCATTGGGGACCACCAATCCTCTCTCGAAGCTGACCTGGCCTAACTCGACGCCCGTAATCTTCTTTGTTCTATTCGAGTCATTCTCGGCAATTTCTAGGGCGGCTTCGAGGACCATGATCAGCATGCCCGCAGCCGGGTACAGGATTGTGCCAGTAATGACATGGCCACCCATCCACGGCTGCTCCTCCAAGCGCAAGGGGGTTCGCCACCTGGGCTCAAAGGGGTTCTGATTAGGAACTCCGATGCCTAGGAGATCCCTCCTGGGCCTCTTTTGCTTTCTGACTGCGAGGCTCTCAGGTGTCT